TTTTTTTTTCCTAAAACTGTTGATATTTTTGGTTATCATTCTATTAATGTATAAATTATAATCGTTGCACAAAATTTTTAATTTATTTTTCTTTCAGAAATCTCACCTGAGGTCTCAGGTGAGAAATCACATGAGATATCAGATAAGATCTCTGGTGAGATTTGTCAAGAGGATATGTTTGCAAAACTGTGAGCTTATTATTGCTGTTGTTATTAATTTTTTTAAGATAAAAACTATACTATAACATTCTAGGAAGTGTCATTAACTATTATGCGAAATTTCAGCCAGATTGGTAGAGTAGTTTTCGCGGTTAGCGATTACAACGGTTTTAGCGACTTTGCTTTATATATTAGTATATATAGACTGCTCGTTCTATGTACGATTGTACGGCATCAAAGGATAAGTAGAAAGAGACGCAGCATTAAGCGTCAATATCTGTGTCGCACATTGCCAACGGAGGTGAGTCAGGTCAGGTTGCATCAGCCAGATCTACGACTGAGACTTGTGAAGTTGGCGCCCGTAAATATTAAATATTAATATTTGGCACCCATTCAGAGCTTAAACGATTTCTCCTTACTTGCGGATTTATCTTCCACTTGAATTTTTATTCGCGGATCAATAGTTTGCGAGATATTTGCAAAATAAAAAGTCGAAAATGGGCGCGGCGCTGAAATATAAAAAACTTTGTTTTAAGTGCCAAATTGGGTTAAAATCCAATTCTACCTGTACGATTCGATTCCTCCTCATTTGCGGATTACAGAGATATATAAATTAATGTAATTAAATGTCACAAAGTTTGTAAATGATGAATTTAATTATTGAGTGAGAGAATCTAGTAACTTTTGTCTAGTGACTTTTGGTCCAGCGCTCCGTCCCCGTTGTTCGGTACATGTCGCTTACTCCTTACAGCGAATTCTACAAAATATTTATCGGAATAGAAAACTTTAGTAGGTATTAATCAATTAATTATCAGTTATAAGTTATTCAGCCTCCGGGTCAATACACACACACACACACACACACACACACACACATTTTTTGATGACTATGCAATCTAGTGTAAACCCATTTAATAAACATTTTTTAAAATTGAGTACTTGTTAATTTATTACTGGGGCTGTGTTTGCATAGGCTCCGTTTGTAGTATGTTGAGGTCACGTGATCATTTATGATTAGTGCGAGTGAGACGTTGATATTATGCTGTCTCCCTCGCACTTTTGATAAATGATCACGTGACCTTAACAAACCTAATAACAAACAAAGCCTTAGGCGAACACAGCCTGTATCACTTTAATCCGTTTCCACTGGTCGGTAACTTGATCTTCAATTTGCCTGATTGATCATTTACGCGCGAAATTTGAATGCTTAAGCCATTTTCTAAAACTGATGCATCTGATGCATCCATCGTGACGATAAAGGGTTTTTCCAAATCTGGGGCAATAAGTACAAGTCTACTGTACAGTGTATCTACGAGAGTTTTAAATGGCTTCTCCTCTTGGTCACCTCATTTAAATGCAGTGCCTGCTTTTAGGAAACTCGATATAGGCTGGGCAATTCGTGAAGAATGTTTGACAAATCGCCTGTAGTAGCCTACGAATCCTAAAAATTGTTTTACTTTTTTTACGTTTGTCAGTCAAGGAAAATTTCTAGCCACTTGAGTCAGTCATTATTTGTCCATTGCCTACAATGTGACCAAGCACTTTCGCTTTTTTTTTCAAGAACTGACACTTTTTAGGTTCAATTGTGAGGTTTGCAGCTGCCAGCCGTTTAAACAGTTTCGTGAATCGTCTCTCATGTTCGTCAAGGTCACGGGAAAATACCATGTCATCAAGATACACTTCTATTTCATGGCCTTGTAATCCTGCGAGTGCTAGTGCAATAGCCCTTAGAAATGTGTTTGGCAAGTTTTTGCACCCCATTGGCATTCTTTTGTATTGGTAGTGCCCATCAGGGCCTGAAAATTCTGTTTTATGCGCATCGTCTTCGTGTATTTCCACCTGGAAAAATCCCGATTTGAGATCCACTACCGTTTTTTTTTTATTATTATTATTATTATTATTGTTATCATTATTATTATTATAGTGCTTTACGTCCGGCTCCTATAAAGGGCAATACTGAGGGCACTTAGCACTTGGGAGAAGGAAGGAAAGAGGGATGGGAGGCCTCCCATTACTGGGAGGGGGGTAGGGGGAATTAGCCAATTTATGCTGCGAGGAGGTCACCTAAACCCTCCTC